AGAGAAAATGTAGATATCAAAGTGTTTTTTTTGTTTTGAGTTGGAGTTTCACTCCGTTGTCCAGGCTGGAGTGCAGTAGCATGCTCACGGCCACCCCAGCGTCGAGCTGCTGGGCTCCAGTGAGTCTTCCGCCTCAGCCTTCCAAGCAGCCAGAACTATAGGCACGCGCTACCATGCTCGGCTAATTTTTGATGTATTGTAGAGACAAGGTCTTACCAAGTTGCCCAGGCTGGTCTTGAACCCGCGGGTTCAGGCAATCCACTGGCCTTGGCCTCCCAAAGTGCTGGGATTACAGGCTGAGCCACTGAGCCCTGCCGACATAAAAGATTTTAACAGCAACAATGTTCTGGCACTAGTTTTGAATGACTCTGGCTCCTGATGAATATACTGAATTAGCTACAAAACATACCCACAGGTCATTGAATAAACTGAGGCATTAGCTAGAGTTTTTTGTTTTCTACTTGAAAACTAGAGAATATCAGCCAAAAACCAATTTTGGTTTTGGCATAATTAACATTGTTCTGTTCTCTCCGAAAGTATAGTAATTAGAAATATGGCTCAGTGATTCCTTAATGTCACTACTGGTTTGTGGCAGAAAACCATGACACTGGCACTAAGAACGGCATCTCTTCCTCACTTGCAGTGAGAGGAGGCAGCTATCAGGTGTTTGCTCTGGAGCCGAATAAGAAACTATGCAGTAGCTCCCTTTCATAATGTAGTTTTAGATTGAAATCTGATCTGTCTAGAGACAGTTTCAACTCTCTGATTCTCCCAGAACTGTTAAAAAATACAGATTTTGTGAAAGCATATGGTAACACTAGATTTATACTATATTGTTATATTTTCATCTAGAGACAAGCTGATGAAAGATGGGAAAAAATGCTGCCAAAATTTTTCGTGTTCCCAAACACTTCCCTAAGTATGTTAGGAGGTAAGCAGAAAAAACGAAAAAAGTACTCCACCCTCAACCAAACATTAAATACTTGTTTAAGAAAGTGAAAGAGATTTCTTTAACGTAAGAGTTCAGAGTACTTAATATGCCAACGTGACAGGGATCCAGTTTTCAGTGTTTTCCCAACTTATTAAGCCTGGCATCCTATTACCTATAGTGAATATACATGCTATGTTGCCTACATATATATATATATATGGGTTGCCCTTATGGGTAGGGACTATTTTCTATTCAGTACAGTACATTTTTACTAAGTTCCCATTATGTGTCTAACCAATGAGGTTGAATTAGACTGAAAGCAACAACAGCATTTGATATTAGAGAATGTGGCAGAGAAAATGTAGACATCAAAGTTTTTTTTTTTTGTTTTGAGTTGGAGTTTCACTCCGTTGCCCAGGCTGGAGTGCAGTAGCACGCTCACGGCCACCCCAGCGTTCCCCAAAATCCAGGAATTGATTTATTAAAAATTGTGTATTTATTCCTACGTGTTTAAACTTCAGTCATCTTCAAAGTACTCTCTGTTTGATGCAATACACCTGTCAAGAAACTTTTTCCAATTGCTGAAAATAGTTTTTGAACTCGTCAATGTTGATGCCTTTTAGTGCTTCTGCAGTTTTTTGTTTCACCTCTTCCACAATGGCAAAATGTTTTCCTTTGAAGACTTTATTCGCCTGCGGAAACAAACAAACCAAAAAACCACTCGGCATGAGATACAGTGAACAGGGAGGGTGGGGCATGGAAGTCATGTCATTTTTAGTGTGGGCAGGTGTGCTTGTAAATCACCCATCATGAAATTGGCAAACGTGTTGAAAGAATCTCCAAAAAGAGTAACATTAATTCACTAAAATCAAACATGGCTTCTCACAACAACGCTAGCTGGTATACTGATGCCCATGGGTTCCTAGAACACATACCTAGCAGGGGAAGCTTGTATTCAAAGGGGCTCATCCTCCAAAAAATAATTCCAGGATTTTTTGTCTCCCTGCCATCCCGTATACTATTTTCGAACCACCCAGGGTCTGCTTTTTTTTCTTAAATCTAGTGGGGCTGTGATCAGGGGTCCCCATTCTATCTCAGTAGAGAGAGATGCCAGTGATCCAGGTTAGGACAACTGGGAGATGGAAACTGAATTGGGAGTACTAAGAGCAATTGATTAGGGCTCACCCATTTCAGTAATGGGAGACACCTGATCATAACGCTCCTGCCACGACTTGATCCTGTTGTCACTGCTTCTGTGCCCTCTGGAATTGTTGTCAAGCCTACTGGCTTCCTAGCCTGGTTATCTGGATAGGCTTCCCATCAATTCTTGGAGTTCCTGATATTCTTCTATTAAAGGCTTGTGCTTAAATTGGGCAGAGAATTTTCTGTGGCTTGCAACCAAAGCACCCATACTTTTTGTTCTTCCTCAATTCATCTCTCATAACATTACTAAATTGAAACAGGAACAATGTGTATTTATTGACTACTCAAAGCCATATGCCAATTACATTGCCTAACACATTTTAAGAGCTCAAAAATAACTGTTGAACAAATGACTAGCATTCCAAAGAAAAGCTTTTGGGAAGCCTTGTTACACTCCATTTTCTTAATAAGGAGTAAGACCCAAGAGAGAAAGAGTCCCCAAAATCTATGGGCTTCCCTTGGAGTAAACCAAAAAATGTTTGTGTTGAGTTTTGGTGGTTTTCAAATAAGCTACTGTCTCTTATTTTGGAGAAATAAAAGACTTACACAAAATAAAACACAAACTTTAAGTCAATACTTAAGGAGTCATTTAGAAACAAATTTGCCCTCTCTGAAATAGACACTTCATTAAGTATTTAACACACGTTTCCTTATTTAATCCTCACATCTGTGTCAGTGAGCATTATTTATTGGGTCCCTACTATGTGACAGACATGATGCTAGGGCCACGAAAAACAATGATAACAAGACACACCCAGCATGGGTAGTTAAGAGACTCTTCCATAGTCACATAGATGGTAAGTTGGTGGCATACATTTTTTTCCTGTGTAAGTAGTTATATATTTTTTTGCTCTATTTAATTATACTTTATGAATGGCTTTTATTTTATTACAGATAATCCAATCAATATAGATGGGTTTAAAATTTTAAGTATACTCACTTTGTACAAACACGAATCTTTAAAAAAAGGATTACATTTATTGACACTGGTCATTGTCAATATTTTGGGTTCAAATGTGCTTTCACATTTAATTTTCTGGTATAAGACAACACCCAATGAAAACTATCAAGTTGTTTATGAAAAATGCTTAGAATGACGCAGCACCTAACATCTGCGGTCAGTTGTTCACTATTCTTTCCCTGAACCCAGGATGGTGTCCAGGACTGCTGGATAGGTAGGTACCCAGCATCCTAAGGTTCAAGTATCAAAACCATGGGAATGAAGCACTGTAAGACAGACAGGAAGCCTTCGAGGGAACAAACAAATAGACCTAAAAATCTTGCAGGTCTAAAAGTGGAAAACAATTGCTGCACCATTGATTTGAGTCTAATAAGAATGTTAAGGACACCTCACAATGGATCAGGACACTATTCCTAGCTCGCGTGTATGGAGGGACATAAACGTGCAAGAAGTATTAACATACCATCTCTGCCGTAATTTAAATCCCGAACTTCCACAAAATATCCTACCCCAATTCAAAGTGACCTTCGACTGCTTCTGGTGGCTTAACTCCACATCGGACCGAAGCAAGTCATTGGTGGAATAGGAACCTATTAAAATTACCCGCTTGACCTCAGTGTGAGTTTCTCAGCATGCTTTATACAGGAGTGACACAAGTGACCCACGAGCGACTCTGGAACTCAGTGGTATTGTACTGGGGTGGTTGTCTGTCTGCAGTTTTCATGCTGAGTTAGCAGTAACCAGATATCCCTCCTCATTCCTCAGGCTTGAGGCTTCCGTCTACCTCTGAAGGGTTGGTCCCCTGCCATTTCTTTCATTTCTTTTTCTTTCTCTCTCTCTCTTTTTTTTTTTTTTTGAGTCGGGGTCTCTGCTGTTCAGGCTGGAGTGCCACTCGGGAGTGCAGCGGCACAATCATTGCTTACCCCTGCCTCTGCCTCCCGGTCTCAGGCGATCCCACACCTCAGCCTCCAAAGTGGCTGGGACCACAGGTGGGCGACACCAAGTCCGGCTAATTGTTTGATTTCTTTCTTTCTTTTTGGGGGGGGGGAGCGGGTAGAGAATTGGTCTCGCTCCGTCGCCCAGGTTGACGCCGACCTCCTGGGCTCAAACAATCCGCTAGGCTTCCCAAGGGCTGCGCTTACAGGCGCGAGCCGCCGCGGCGCCGGCCTGCCCGTCATTTCTTAGCGATCGTGAATCTCTTCCGGACACGCCCCGAAAACAGATGGTCCTGAGGGGGGCCGCCGTCGGGCCGCCAGGGGAGAGGCAACTGGAGCTTCCCGCGGGAGCAGCGCCAGGGAGAGGGCAGCCGAGGGCAGGGCGTGCGGGCACGCGGCGCAAGGGGGCCCGGCGGCGTCTGCGGCCGCAGGGTGTTCTCCAGCCCTGGGAAAGGGGCCCGGGGCGAACGCGCCGGCTTCCAGG